CTCTCTCTCTCTCTCTCTCTCTCTCTCTCTCTCTCTCTCTCTCTCAAAATAGGGATGATAAAAGTCGGGTTAACCTGACCTGGGTCCAAATCCATACTGACCAGGTCCGGCCATGTGTGTGTGTATTCTCTGTGTATGTAGCTATATATACGGTAATAACGAATGTCTGCATGCCGGCATATTGAAAAGTGTAAACCAACAGCTCATATTCAATTAGAGCACTTCCAATGACCAGTGTATATAAAAATCTTTTCACTTGTAATTTTTTAGAAACCCTTTTGAGCTAAAATTTAGCGAAGAGGTGTGCTAGACCAAGGTGCACAAGAAAAAATGTTAGAACTCATGCAAATTAATAATTAAGAAAAATAAGCCCCACTTTCATCTCCCCTGTTTATCAATTTCATTACCACATTTTGTGTCCTGTTCTAGCTAACATGTCATTCTCATTCTCTTCACAGCTCCACCACTCTAATGGTCTCTCTCTCTCTCTCTCTCTCTCTCTCTCTCTCCACCCCCAGGGGGGAGGAATACAAATCCACCGTGGCCATGGAATCCTTGCTTGGTCTGCCAGAGTTGGAATACAGAAAAAGGATAACATGCACATGGACATAATGCCACGAGAGGGAGAGAGAGAGAGAGAGGCCAGTGCTCACCTCAATACAAACCAAATGCTAAAAGCATTATGAAACAAGCAGATGTAGCTTTGCTATGATAACATAATGTTGGGTAGCCGATAAGTCCAATTCTATTGCAGGATAAATAGAGACATGATTGGGCAGTTGAAGAATAAGATGAATACAAAACACAATTTGATCCGCACAACTCACCCATGCACATGTAATGGGTAAAAAGCATATAAAAGTAAAACAAAAGTAGAAGACAAAAAATGACAGAAATATTAGCCAACCTTTTCAATAGACCCCTCACATAAGAGACAAGACAAAATACTGCAACAAAATAATAATCAAATTTATAAAGAAAAAGGCGAAAATAAATTTATCTCAGAAGAAGTACTAAATTCTCATTAAATACTAATATTAATGCCTGATCTCCCAGCCCACTTTGCTAACCATACAACATCATTACATTAAACAAAACCCCCCAAAAAGAAAGATAAACAGCAGAGAGAGATTAGATTCTTGCAACCACCATACACATGCTGCCAAGCCAGCACCCACAGGAATCAAGAACTCCTCTTACAAAAGGACCCAAATGAAAAGAAATGAAAAAGAAAGAAAGAAAAAGAACATGCATTCCTCTAAGGAATGTCTCTTTTTGGAGTGTTTTTCAAAGCACCATTCATGTGGTCATGGCATCTCTCTCTCTCCAGTGAGCAATAATGGTGGGGTCCACCACCCCAAAAAGTAAACAAGACCTCTTAACTCAGCCTCTTGCCATGGCCCAGTACACTAGTGCTGGGGCCCACAATCCTGCCATGGAAAATTCCAACTTTGCCCTTGGGCTAACAGAGTTCATGTCATTAATTGACGGGCCTGGGCCTGTGTTCACCCCACCTCCAATACCTCCAATTACTCCAGTTGTGGGGGTAAAAGAATTGGGTGATGTGGTGGTGGTGGTTGATGGGGTTGTGGTGGTTGATGGAGTGGTGCTTGTTCCTGGTGTTGTTGTACTTGTGGTCCCCCCTGCAGCACTGCACAATCAAAAACAGTCTTTGAGAGAGAGATGGACAGCTCGGATCGATCGCTCTCGGGGTTGGTGGGATGAATGGTTTGTTTTTGGAGAGACACTTGGGGTGTGGAATGGTAAATTTGCCAGTCGGGCAAAACGGTCTATTTCCACAAAGGGCAAAACGTTTGCATAAGGTTAGTATAATTTTGGCATAAACAATTCCTCGCATGGCTTGACAAATCTATTCTCATCTCTAATTATAAAATCTTAAACTCCAAAAATAGTCCAAACCAAATAAATCTATAAACACTTAGAAAATCTGGAAAATGGACAGCCCAGATAATGTATTGCAAGATACACTATTTTTAAGACTCAAAACATTTTTTTTCTTTTCATATTCATATATCGAGATAGATCATTTAGAAAGTTTTCCAAGATCAAAACAACTTTTTACAATGGAATTTTGAGGAGCACCTTACTTCTACATTTTCAAGGTTGCAAGTTGCAACCTTATATAAACTTTTTCCTTTCCATAAAAAGGAAAGATGGGTGGAAGGGATCCCTGCAGTGGATCAAGAGCAAATGGGTATTTTGGGGAAAAAAAAAAAGCAATCCATGTGAACTTTTAATGGGCAAAATGGTCTTTGCCAGGTAAGGTAGCAGCGGTAAAATGGTCCTTAGCAAGACCAAATATCAGCAAGGTGGTTGCTCCATCAACGTCTACCAAGATTTGGAGGGTATATGGGCAAAGGGACAAAATGGTCTTTTAACAGAGAGAATGCCAGCTCCTTTAATCACAAAGAAAGATGGGAGGGGGTAAAAGTTTTTCACATAGGAAAAACAAGAGAGAGAAAGGGGTGTCCACAAAAGATGGGGGGGGGTAAAAGTTTTTCACATAGGAAAAAAACAAGAGAGAGAAAGGGGTGTCCACAAAAGATGGACCACAAAAACTGAGGAGAGAGAGAGGCATCAACCAAACTTGAAATCCAACACTCAAAAAGGAGGAGAATCCAAAGTTGAAACAAGACACAGTAGTACCCAAAAGATAGAGATAGAGAGAGAGAGAGTACCCAAACTTTCAAGAGAGAGAGAGAGAGAGTAATAAAAAGGCAAGGATTAAAAGCCCAACAAAAAAGAGAAGCCAAAAGTTATTCTACTTGAGAGGGAGTAGAATGTCCATTTACTCCTTCCGACCTAGACTTAATTTTCCGAACCTAAATTCGGAGGATGTAACCTCTTCAACCCATAGATTAACCTCAATGAAGAATTTCCCTAAATATACCCTCTATGTACTTGAAAAAAAATAAAATCAAGATTAAATAGAGACCATCCAATTTTTAGATGGCGAGTACGAACTCAAGTTTCAATTTTGTTTTTATCAGATCAATTATCTAGTAATTCTTAAATGCTAATTACTTATGAGATTGAAAAAAATCCTCCCAAATAGGTCTTCTACCCGTGAGAGTAGAAATAAACTATGCCCCTGAAGAATCATACTATACTTTCTCAAAAGAGAATACGACCCGGATTATTGAAACTCTCACTCATTAGAAGAGAGAAAAATGACAAAAACCCAAGAGCTGGACCCAACCATATATAGAGTCAGATACTAAACATAATTAGTAACAGGAATTATAGAAAACTACCCACCAAAAAGCTCATAAACAGTGAGATACCTAAGGACCTCATCATGAAAAAATTGCCCCATAAATCAGTGAAGATCACAATAATGGCTAACACCAAAAACGTTAGTAAATTAAAAAATCCAAAATCTTGATAATATATGAGAGAGGTCACATTGCCCAACAAAGCCAAATCACAACAGTAAAATTCTAGAGAGAAAGAGGGGGGTTTCACGACCATACCTGGGTGTTGCAGGAAAGGTGCATGAACCAAAGCCTGCAAATAGCAAAATAAGAACAAAATAGTAAAAAACTCAATCCTCCTCTTTGGTATTCCTACAGTGACAGTAAGTGAAGCCATAGAAAGAAGAGAGAGAAAGCAGGAGTGAGAAAATGGTTATAAAAACAAGAGGAGAGAGAAAAAAGTAGGCTTACTGGGATCATTAGAGGTAGTAGTGGCAGTTCCACTGAAGTCACAAGAGCCTCCTGCCTCATTTTTCCTTTGGAAATAACTATTCATAGCATAAGAGGCATGGGAACCCACAGAGTTGGGTTGATAGCAAGGGCCATTTTGAAGAATAGGAGTGCAATCAGCTCCAGCACCACATGCATAGTCCAGTGATTTTTGCAGGGCTTGATCTGATACACCAGGCTTAGACACACACCATACTGCTTCAGCAACTGCTCATATGCCAAAAACAAACAATTTTAAAAACAGACAGACAGAGAGAAAGAGAAAGAGACCCCTATTCTCATACCCATTCATAACTAGTACAAGTCAATCTAAAGCTACAGAGAGAGAGAGAGAGAGTAAAACCAAAACTGCATACCCAATACACACAGATATCTTGGATAAGTCAATCAAAACCTAACAAGCCAGAAGGGATAAAACTGAACATTTCATACTCTAGGGATCTAATAGAACTCAATAAAGAGCTACAAGGAAACAATAGAAAGATGAACCTAGAGAGAGAGAGAGAGAATCTACTTAAATTAAATGCCAGTAGTAGTAAATAAAAGGGAAAATTATAAAAAAAAACCCAAAATCTACTTTTTATGCAACTTACCCCCAGAGAGAGAGTGAGAATATCGTTTAGAGAAAAATAGAGTCTCTTAAACTTAAGTATTTATAGAGCCATTAAGAAGTCTCGGACAAATAAATTCCAGAGAGACAAACTGAGAAATACTTCAGAATATCCATAATTTCATAGTTATGATACTCTTTTCTTCTTTTTTTTTGTAGAACAATAGTTATGATAGACTCCACACCCCCAATTTGTGTGTGCGCGCACCAGAGAGAGAGAGAGAGAGAGAGAGGACCAATGTTCAACAAATCAAACCAGACCCAAAAACCAACCAAGGGCTCGGTCCGAGTAGCTCAGAAACCAGCCGGTTCACCCGACCTAACCGGTCATGTCCTGGGCGGGCCAAAAAGTGTTAAAGAACTAAAAACAAGAAAACAAAACATTCTAAAAAATATGAAAATATATTTAAAGCATAATTAAACACCACATCCAAATGAAGTTGAACAGTAGTGCAAAAAAAGGATTTTAAAAAATCGATTTGTGCGTAGGAGTATTTAAGAAATAATCCAAAAAAGAATGAAACATAAAAATAAGTATTAGTAGCCAAAAATACATTCCAACCTTTGCCAAAATAATAAAAAACATTCAAAAACACATTACAAACAAATCCCTTATTTTTTAGCATTATATATATATATATATATATATATATATATATATATATATAATAAAAACAGACACACCACCACCGAACCAACACTCGCGNGTCGGTCGTCCGTAGTGTCGTCCGTGTTGTCGCACCANGAGGAACGAAAATCAA